TTGCTCCTTGTAATCCCTTTACAGGGTCACTATGAGATGAAACTAAGGAGCTCTGGTAGCGTAGTTGTTACAAATCAGGCTGCTAACCTCAAATTCAGCAGTTCGAAACTACCAGTGGTTCCATGGGAGAAAGATGAGGTATTCTGCTCCCATAAAGATTTACAGCCTCGGAAACCCTGTACAGAGTCACTATGAGTCGGAACCGACTCCACAGTACTTAACAGCAACAAGTTGGAACTGACTTGGCAGCACTTAACAACAACATGAAATAAATGCTGTCCTTTTACTGTGTGTTTTTGTACATGTGTGATGCTGCTGGTTTCTTTGTCTTACATAATTTTCTGTGCTGAGTTCATTTTACCTGCAAATTTTCTTTTCATTTTCCTAATTGTTGTTGCATTAATGTTTATTAAATCTTTCTAATTTTCTTCTTTTTTATTTAGATGTGAACATATATTCATCTTTGAGGTTACTCTGTCATTTATTAATTTTCCTCATTTAAAACAGTCTGTTTTATATTGAAATCTACCTGACTTACTCACCATTTGTAAGTCATGTAGCTACACTATTCCCTCTTTTTGCTTTGTAATTGACTTAATTATAAATTAATATCTCTGGTTCCCTATATTCAGTTCTGTTAGGTTTGTTTTACTTAAATACTTCTATATATGGGATATGGGTTAAGTTCTGGGTGGTAATGTCATGTTGTCATGGTGTTAATCTCAAGTTGTTGTCTGCTATTGTTGGTTTTCTGTTCAAAGAACAACCATAAGTACTTTTTGTAAAATTGATCTTGTTATTACAAATTCCTTTGATTTCTGTTTATCTGGAAATGTTCTAATTTTGCCATCTTATTTCATAATTTATCACATCTACTTGTGTCATCATTTTATTAGTATGATAAAGAATAGAAACCTTACCTCCTTCAATGTCCCTTTATCCTTCATTTATTGTGTTATTTGAAATACTTCCTCTAAATACACAGAGAACCACATTAGATATTATAGTAGTGCTTCCATCATTAAAAATTATTAGAAAAATCAAGAAGGAAATATGCTTTAGTTTAATTTTTACTCTTTCTGTCATTCTTTCTAATTCTGATATTTCATATTCTATTGTTAACATTATTTTTACTGAACTTCTTTTAGCCATTCTTTGTGGGTAGATATGCTAGCAACAAACTCTCTCAGTTTTCCTTCATGTCAGAATGTCTATTTCTTCTTTCTAATTCCTGATGAATATGGATTTCTGGGGTGACTTTTCTTACTCCAGCACTTCAAAACTGTCTGCCATTTCCTTCTGGCCTCGAAGTTTTCATATGAGAAATTTGCTATCATTTAAGTGCTTTTCTCACATATGTAAGGTTATCATTTCTCTTTGGCTACTCTCAAGATTTTTTTGTTGTTATTTGTTTCTATTTTCCAGATATTGACTGAGATGTATCATAATGTGGATTTCTATGGCCTTATCTTGTTTGGGGTATATACAGCTTCTTAAATCTGTAGATATATATACCTTACAAAATTTACCAAGTTTCCAAAATTTGACTAGTTTTGTACTTTTCTTCAGGTCCATCCTTTCTACTCTCCTTCTAGGACTCTGATGATGGGAAGATAGTCCTTTTGTTACTAACCCACAGTTCATGAACCTCAGTTCAATATATGTATGTATATAGATATAGAAAGATAGATATGGAGTCCTGGTGTGGCAGTGTGGGTTAATGTGCTGGACTGCAAAGTTGTTTGAACCAAAAAGTTGATGGTTCAAGCTCACCAGTCGCTCCTCGGAAAACCTGTGCAGGGTCACTATGAGTCGGAACCAACTTGACAGCACTTAACAACAACAATATATATATATATCTTCAAGGCCAGTGGTTCAAGCTCACCAGCTGTTCCTTGGAAACCTTATACGGGGTCATTATGGGTCAGAATCGACTCGACAGCACTTAACAACAACATTATATATATA